TGGCTTCAATAATTTAGTGAGAAAAATCAGCTTATTTAGTTCCACCTTTACCATTTTTCATAACAAGGAAACAAAATAGATTAACAAATTTCACTGTCAAAATCTCAAGCCATTCATACACTATGGAATAACTAGTTGTTGGCTGGACACTGCACCCTGTGTTTATACAGTACTTCTCAGTTTATTTTCTCTAAGGAGTAACGAACAAACATAGTGTCATGTGGAATATAGATTAAATCCACCAAGTGAAAGCTAGATGTATTTCTGGATGGGGTTGTGATCACCTTTTGCAACAGTCTATAACTTGTAACTTTAATGGTGAATCACAATGGTCTCCTGCACTAGCTTAAACAAGCCACTACATGGGATATGTATGGAATAGGCTGATTAGATCAGTCTAGTTTTCCTGCTTATCATCCATGTACAATAAGTTGTCCGTTATCATTCCCAGATCATTCAAATTAACACAGGGCAGTTAAAGGTACTTTTTGGATTGTGACAGGGAGATGTGAGTTCCTTTATAGGAGTGGCTGATGAAACTTAAGCAGAAAGGATATACAAAAACCCTAAAATTATGTAATCAACATACATCGCAATGCCATCAATGCATCACAATGACAGCACACATTTTAAATTGCTATTATTGTGTCTATTTCATTAGAAGTAGAACTGGAAATGGTACAAATAATGCGTGGCTTTTTCAACTTTCTATTATGTTCCAGAACAAGAAGAATTGCCCCCTTTAATGCAGCAGTTCTAAGGGAAATTCTGTTGAGGTTAGTGTGTGTGGGTCAACAACAGACAGAATTAGACTCAGCTGTTAATACCCCCACAACTAAGTATCCACCTGGCAGCAGATGCTTAAACTCAGCTGTGAAGAATGGCACACTTCCAGGAAAACTCGCACTTTGGGGAATGAGAGAGACAAATCTATAAATAAAAGCAAAGCATTGCCAATACTGAAATAAAAACAGAAAGTGGTGGAGAAACTCAACAGGTCTGGCAGCAACTGTGGACAGAGGAACAGAGTTAATATTTTGAGTCCAGTATGATGATTCTTCTTCCTGTTCTGAAGAAGAGTCATGTCGGACTCAAAATGTTAACTTTGAGTCAATTTATCTAGGGAGGAGAAATCTTGTGCAGATTGCCACTCTGGACCTTATGTTTTACAGAATTTCTGTATTTCTGAAAGGAGATTCTGCTTAAGTCTCCCTCAGGAATGTGAAGCAATACTTCCAATTCTGACAGTTCTTTTGTAGTGTGGAACTGTCAGAGGAATACAAAGCATGCCGTCTTTTCAAAGCAGTTAGCTAGCACACTCTGAAATGTAAAGATCCTGATAGCCATTTTGCCAGATGCATTGAAATGGTAAGTATATAAAGTGTGACTTTGGGTTCTGTGAGAGTAGAGTGCCAGTTGGGTAGGGGGATAGGATGCAAGGTGATAAGAGGGGGCAGGTAAGTGATGCAGTGTTTAGGGGAGATCAGAGTCGGTGGGAGAAATGGTTTGGAAATTGGTTTGGGGGTGAGGGTGTTGGGTACCAGCCTGGGGGTTTCAACTCTGGTGAGAGGAGGGAAATTGTTGGTTAGATCTAGTGGGGGCTAGTCAGTCAACCCTTAACTGTGTAAGTGGTCCATGTTTGGTGTAGCTGGGGTGTGAGGTGAGTATGGGGTCCATTCAATATTTACTCAAGAGTTAGCCAATGTGTTTAATAGTCTAACTTTTCCTGCGTAACTATTTTACTTAATTTCATCAGAGTTATTGCAAGTCTTCAATTTGAATGAAGACTTCTGGAGGAACCCTAGTGTGGAGGCATTGCCAGCAGAAAGTTCAATTTCCTGGGTAATCCTTTGGAGTACACTATGAGGATACCCGACAGGGTCCCATCAACACTGGAACAAGAAGAACCTCACCAGGAGAACATCTCTCTCCACAGTCGGTGCCAAATCTGCAGAGATATTCCAACACTTTCTGATTTCATTATTAACCTACAAATAACTCTCAAAGATTGAAATCAATCAGAATAAGCAATCTTCAAAATACAACTGAAGGAATTGCAAAATAATCTCCAATTCAATGTCCTATTTTTGGAGTTGTAAATACTATGTAATGGTTAGTGAATTTATTGATAATTTCTATTTCCTCCTTTTATGGATCGTTTACATTCTGAATGCTGTAGGTGAAGTAATAAGTGGAGTGCAGTGGAGGGGCAATTGCTGTTTTTTTTGGGAAGATCAGCGATTCTTCCGTGTAAATATTATCATGTAATCAGCTTCCGAATTCAACTTGGACCACTGAAGTCTTTAAAACAATGTAAACAGGATGTTCAGAAAAAGGACCATAAGAGGCTGACTCAACTGTTTGACCACAAAAAAGTTCCATGTTCCATTACTGGTCAAAGGTCAGGTTTTTGCCCTTACTGAAAGACAAGTAATTTAACTTGTCAAACACACAATGGATATTGTGCTTATTTATTCATGTTCGAAATGTTATTTCTCACTTTTTTTTTTAAACTGTCCTCCCTTTCAAAATTTCATGGTACCACCTGAGTATTGATTTAGTAACAATGCCTTTGTATCAATGTAACCTGTTTGCCATCAAGCTATAAACTACATACTGTTTTTAAGACAGAGGTCTCTCCTCATTCGACTAGCAAGTGGTTTCCCTCTACCAGACTGGACCAAGAGGGCCTTGTAGATCGTAAACTAAAAGGAGCATGATGGCAGCAAATCTACAAAACAGTGACCAATAGTCCAGAGAGCTGACACAACAGTGATGATGATCAATCACACAACAAAGAGGTAACTATGTTTCAGAGATAGTAGGAACTGCAGATGCTGGAGAATCTGAGATAACAAGGTTTGGAGCTGGATGAACACAGCAGGCCAAGCAGCATCAGAGGAGCAGGAAGGCTGACATTTCGGGCCTAGGCCCTTCTTCAGAAAAAATACAACTGAAGGAATTGCAAAATAATCTCCAATTCAATGTCCAATTTTTGTAGTTGTAAATACTATGTAATATTTAGTGAATTTATTGATAATTTCTATTTCCTCCTTTTATGGATCGTTTACATTCTGAATGTTGTAGGTGGAGCAATGAGTGGAGTGCAGTGGAAGGGCAATTGCTGTTTTTTTTTCTGAAGAACGGTCTAGGCCGTCCTGCTCTTCTGATGCTGCTTGGCCTACTGTGTTCATCCAGCTCTACACCTTGTTATCAAAGAGGCAACTATGTTGTTTTTAAGGCTATAATGACAATAAACTACTGGGGAACGTTTATTCTCATTTTGATGAGAATCCATCAGGTGATAAGAAATTGATTTTGGTCTTGTCTGCAATGTATCAAAATCACAAATGGCTCAATTTTAACTACCTCCTAAATCCTGGGAGAATATTTCACAGAATCCCTGTAGTGTGAAAGCAGGCCATTCAGCCCATCAAGTCTATCCAAAGAGCAACCCATCAAGACCCACCCCCATACCCTGTAACCCTGCATTTCCCATGGCTAACACACCTAGCCTGTACATCCCTGGACACTACAGGGCAATTTAGCATAGCCAGTCCACCTAACCTGTACACCTTTGGACTGTGGGAGGAAACCAGAGCACCCGGAGGAAACCCAAGCAGACATGGGGAGAATGTGCAAACTCAACACAGTCAGTCACCCAAGGGTGGAATTGAACCCTGGACCCTGGCACGTGAGGCAGCAATGTTAAACACTGAGCCATCATGCCGCCCTAAAGTATGGATTAAAATTTCAGAACCTAACCTTATTTTTGTCCCTTTCAAGTTTAAAGCACAGAGTTTGGGGCACAGACTGGGCTTGCACAGAAGGCAAGCAGGGACCTATTTAATGTGCAGTACTTAAATTTTACTGGTGAAGGCCTGTGTAGTGGGATTTTTCAGCCATTGAGCCTAAGCAGAAGCTGCCAGTTCCCCAAAGTAAGCAGCCCGTCAGTGTTATTGGATGCCAGGAAATGAGGGAGTACTCCTACCTACCTACTTCAGGAACTCCCCCAGCTTTCCCTGCTCCCAGTCACTACCTGGAGTTGATGCTCTCTTCCTGACTGTGGACCCTTGATGGTAGTGCTCCCTCCCACCAACCAACTGGACAGTCAATGTGGCCAGTTGTCAGAGAGAATCACTCCTACTGAATACCAACATGAGACAGTCATTAGCAGGGACTCTATATTGAGGCCAAACAGTCTGACAATAAAAACAGATGGGTAATAAAATCTGGAACCACAACGTAGCCAACTGCAGAGCTTACAAGATTGCATGGTGATCATATTGAGACATATAAGATCCTGAGGGAGCTTGACAGGCTAAATGCTGAAAGGATATTTTCCCTTGTGGGAGAGACTATAACTAGGGGAACAGTTTAAAAATAATAGATTTCCAATTTAAGATGGAGATGAAGATTCTTTTTTTCCTGAAAGGGATGTAAATCTTCAGAGCTCTCTTTCCCAGAGAACAGTCAAAGTGGGGTCCATTGAATGTTTTTAAGGCAAAGTTAGAGAGATCCTTGATTAACAAGGGAGTCAGTAATAATTAGGGGTTCTGGAAATGTTGAGTTGAGGCCACAATTAGATCAAACATTACCTTATTGAGTGGTACAGCAAGCTCAAGTGGTCAACTCCTACTCCTAAATTGTACGTTTGTAGCAAGCCAGCCAAAATTTCACAGCAACCATGCTGCAAATCATCCAAATACATTAAAAGAAATGCAACAAGAGAACGGGAGTAAATATCAGACTAAGGAAATATTGCAAACCGATATAAGAAATAGGAACAGGACGCTGTTCCACTGATCCAATATTCCACACATCCATTTTCCCGCACTTTCCCCGCAACTCTTGATTCCCCACCTGATCAAAAATCTATCAATCTCAACCTTAAATATACACAAGGAATATGAATCCCAAATCTTCATCACACTACAACAGGCCAGTATAAATGTATCCCACAGACTAAGCCGCTATCGAATAAACAGTATGTCACTCACTGGGGGTCTTTTCCATTCCAGCTTGAAGGGCATACCCACAGAGTAAAAAAGTGAGGAGTCATTGGCAGGGAATTCCTCGTCTTCAAACAAGACGCCTTTTCTCAGGCACTCGTCCTTCAGATGCTGAAAGACCCCGCTCTTGTCACAGGTAATATCCTTGTTACGATTGATGATAGGATACAATGCAGCTTTGCCAGCCATTTTGGATTGGGTCTGGACTGGTGGTGATTCCTGCATCGAGTTGATGACATGAGGCATAGTAACACAACGTTTCAAAACAGTGCAGTAAAAAAGAGATCTGTTAATAAAAGAAAGATATGCAGGCCGCAGAGACAGGAAGGAAACTATTTGGTTTCCTAAAACAGGGAAACAGGTTAGTTACTTTTTCAGCTATAAACACTAGCAAAACATTTCAATCAGTTTCCTTGAGGTAAAAGGCAGAAATCATTTGGACAGGCTCCTTCACGAAACAACACATGAGTGTCACCAGGGACTTCAAAATAGTTTTGGTTCCAGATTCCTCACAAGATTCAATGCTGTTTTGTATAACCACAATATGCCTTCTCCACAGTTTTCCACATTGAAATAAAAAAATCAAACAATCATCCACTTTTTGAACGATACGTCTGTTGAATTTTCCAGAATTGGCCTTGGCTCTCTCTCCCTCTCATTCTCTCTCAGACTTCCCAGCTGTTCTGGGCTCAATGTAGAAGTGAAACCAGCAAGATCAAATGCTAAAAATAGTCTTAGGCAGGCTGTATTTTGTGGCAACTGTATTTGTTTTTGCAGGCTCCTTACACAGGGACGCATATACTCAGGCACATCAGTGTTCATTTATCATTTTTATCCTGTTTTTCACAACTTTTCTTCCTTCTCTTGAAGGTGCTGTGGTCACAATACAACAGTAACTAGCAACTGTACAACATTTCTTTTAAGCAAGGATCAGTTAGAAATCATTCCATTTTACTAAATAATCGGGCTAAATAGTGGAATGGATGAGAGGATAAGTGTAGTGGATAACAGGGTGTAAGCATGAATGGGGAGGTAGTAGGGTGAGCGGTATAGTTATGAGAAATGGAATGACGGGTGAGTGCACTGGGTAAGAGGTGGGATAAGTGAGGGGTGAAAGGTTAAGGGGGTGAGTGACAGATGAAAGGGATGAGAGGAGGATGAAAGGAGTATCTGAGGGTGAGACCATTTGGTATGGGGTGAAAAGGTGGAAGAGTAGCTTATTGGTGGTTAAAGGGATTGAGACCGATCTCAAGAGGGTGAGAGGGATGAGTAAGGACAGGTTGAATAGGTTAGTCAAGTGGGTAGGAGGTTTAAATGGGTGGATTAGAATGAGTAGGCTGGACTTGGAGGATGTGCAGTGGGTAGAAATACAAATCAGCTGGGTAAAAGGGTGAATGCTGAAGATCAAACCAGCTGCCATATACTGTTAGTTCAGTGGATTCTCACACAGTATCATTCACTGAGGCATGTCAAGCACACATTCACACTTTATCACTGATTCCCACTCTGATTTATTTTATTCACTGACTCAGACTTTCACTCAGTGTCTCATTGTCATTCAGTAAACTCAACCTCTTGTCATCACATTATTACTCTCATATTAACTTACTCTCAATCTCACACAATTGCGATTTCATTCACTCATTTCTTCAATTATTACTCACAATCTCACTCACTTTCACTGAATCATTTACTGACTCCTGCCTTTTCTCAGTATCTCACCACTTTTAGAGTCGGATTAATTGACTCCCTTATTGTCACTTGCTCCAGCTCATTCTCACACTCTCATTGTCCCTCAATCACTCTCATATTCGATCACTCAGACTGGTCAGGGTGGAAAGGGGATCTTGCGCACTGGTAGCAGGATTGGTGGGGAATCCTGCCAGTTCAGTAGGGGAAGCCCAGTGGAATCAAGTAACCTTCAGGCACTTAAATGGCTGCAGATAGGCCTTGCCTGTATTTGAGGACCCTGATGGCAGAAATCCCACCTGCAGAGAGCTGCACAGCTCCTGATGCCACAAGCACCAGCAGGAGTGGTGGCTGCTGCTGGAACTACACACACCCAGACCAAATACCAGAGAAGGTAGAATAGGATTTGCCAGGATGGATGAACGTTACAGAGTAAGGCAGGGTTTGGCTTTCAGCGGCCAGTATCCCCCATGGGAAACAAAGTAGGTTTTCAAAAAGGAGACAGACATAGTTCTTAGGACTAAAGGGATCAAGAGGTATGGGGAGCAAGCAGAAACTACTGAGTTGGATGATCAGCCATGATCATATTGAGTGGCAAGCGGCCCAATGGCCTATTTGTGCTCCTAGTTTATTTCTATGGTAACCCCTTTCCTAGGAGGCCTGAAATTTCATTGGGTTGGCTGGGTGGGCTTCACGTGATCTGGGAGAAAAATACGACCTCCATTCAATCCCTTAGCCACCATTAAACTGCAGCAGGCTTAGGAGTAACAGATGTCAATAGGTTTATTAATTAGGATAACTGACATTTTGCCACTGATGGCCAGGAATGCTGCCCTTTCTTCTCCCTCACTTAAATGGGGGAGATCTGCCATTGTTTACAGACTGACATGGAGTCTCTCCAAACATTAAGTGGGCTTTGCTACTATGTTTCTCACCTTGATGTGCAACATTAAATCCAACCCATATCGAGTCATGTGTCCTTTAGTACTCAAAGATAACAATGTGTGGAGCTGGAGGAACACAGCAGGCTTGGCAGCATCAGAGGAACAGGAAAGTTGAAGAAAGGTCCCGACGTCAGCTTTCCTGTTCCTCTGATGCTGCCAAGCCTGCTGTGTTCCTCCAGCTCCACACTTTGTTAACTCTGACTCCAGCATCTGCAGTTCTTGCTATCTCTCCTTTAGTACTCACTCTTGTTAAGTGACTCATCACACTTATCTCTGGAGAACATGAATGATACCTAGATCCCAGGGTGTGAACAAACTTGAGAACATAGAAATACGAGCTGGTACAGGTGGTTTCACCATTCATGCCTGCTCTGCCATTCAAGTCCATGGTTGATCTTCCATCTAAACCCCACCTTCCTATACTGCTCACATGTCACGTAGTTCCCTCAGTATACAAAAATCCATCACTCTCCTTCTTGAACATATTTAACGACTAAGTGTTTTTTTAGTCAGTTTTGCGATACACCTCAATAAAACAAAGAATTGCAGATGCTAGAATTCTAAAATAAAAACAGAATTTGTTGGAGAAACTCAACAGGTCTGGCAGCATCTTTGGAGAGAAAGCACAGCAGTTTATACGTTAAGTCCTGTGACCTGTTCTGAAGAAGGGTCACTAGACTCGAAATGCCAATACTGCTTTCTCTCTGCAGATGCTGCCAGACCTGTGAGTTTCTCCAGCAAATTCTGTATGAGCGACACCTCACTGGAGCAGCGGGCTAAAAATCAAGCCCTGCTATTCCCAGAGCAGTCACAAAAGTTACAGATTTGAACAAGCAAATAGAATTCCCCAGTTTACCTGTCATTTAGACCTGGGTTGGACAGGACAGTCCAGGTTAACAATCTTAACAATCATTATTATTTATTACAAACAAATAGATATTGACAACAGATAAACAATTTGGAATCATCAGCATATAACTCTACTATTTAAAACTCTAACCCTCTTATAAACATTTCCACTACACACATACACAGACAGACACAAAAAAGGATGTTATAGGCATATGGAAAACTGGGAAAGCAGTTTAAAAGTTTCTGTCCACTTCACCAGGCATGTTCTCTTGTTTGTTGGAGGCAAACTTACAATTTCTTAAAAGTAACAGCTTAGAGCAACTGACAAGGGGAAATAAACTGATCATCTTCAGTCTTGAGATGCTTTCTACTCCAGAGCGAAAGCAACTCCTCTTTCAGAGGTCTGATGATTTCTGGCCTGAACGTTCACACCCACAAACTGTTCAGCTACCTGGCAGTCAATTGCATAGTTACTGGCAGCCAGGATGCCCCTGTCATCAATAACTAGTCAACATTCCACAGACCATTGAGGTACTTGTTACCAGAAAAAATCTCCATTCATACACAGCCCAGTGGTTCCGGCTTGTCTGCAACTAGATTTGCCCCACTCTTTGAACTGACAGCTGTGTAAACAGCACTTACAAAGAATGACAGGTAACATGCTTTTTAAAAGTGCAGTAATCTTTCAATAATTCTTGTATTTTCAAACAGACTTTTTCCTATCTCAATCCATGATCAAAAACACAGAAAAATATAAAGATGTAGCCTTTCTGACAAGATGGCAGCAGAGTAGGATGCTCCACCCAGGGCTCCACTGCTCTGCCTGTTCTTTTTGTTTCTTTTCTTGTCTCTCTTTTTAGCAGTCCTGGGGCAGCGTGCGGGGAAGCAGTCCCTGAGCAACGTGAGGAGAAACGGGTCCCAGAGCAGCACTGAGGGGAGCGAGTCCCTAGTAGCAGGAGGGGGAATGGGTTTCAGAGCAGCATGCAGGGAAACAGTCCCTGAGCAGCACTAGAGGAGCGAGTCCCACAGTAGTGCGAGGGTGAGTGAGTCCCGGAGCAGTGTGAGGAGAAGCAGACCCTGAGCAGTGCAAGGGGAAATGAGTCCCATTGCAGCACTGGGGAGAGCAAGTCCAAAAGCAGCATGAGGGGAACGAATTCTGGAGCAACGTGAGGGGAAGTAAGTCCTGCAGCAGGGCGAGGGAAAGCAAGTCCTAGAGCAGCGCAACTTACCTTGGTGCAGCTGAGTGCGGAGCGCACTGGAGTCTTGGAGCAGAGCAGGACTGTTGTTGGACTGCAGCCTACTGTGGTTGGTCAGACCATATGCTGAGTTGCTGCTATTTAAAATTCTTTACCGGACTGTAATGTCAATCCTTTCACTATGTTATAAGTATCTTATTTCTAACTTATTTTGTAGACACTAAGTAATTCTACTACTTTTCCTTTTATTCCTCTTTTGTATCCAGGATTTGTGCCTAGGCACTTGTACCGAAGATAGCACCAAAAGAGGCTGCCACTGTAAAAACATTTCACTGTATTCCTGTACACATGACAATAGAGGATATTCTACATATGGAATTTGAGCATCACTGGCTCAGCAAGGATTTGTTGCTTATTCCTAAATTTCCTTGAGAAGGTGGTAGTGAGCTGCCTTCTTGAACTGCTGCAGTCCATCTGGTGTAGGTCCACCGATAGTGCTATAAGAAAGAAGAGTTCCAGGATTTTGACCTCGGAAAAGTGAAGGTCAAGCAATATAGTTCCTTGTCAAACTGTTGTGTGATGTGGAGGGGAATTTGCATATGGCGGTGTCCCATGCCTTCAACCTTCTAGGTAACATGGGCCATGGTTTGGAAGGTGTGACAAAGAAGCATTGGCAGATTGCTGCAGTGTATCTTGTAGATGATACTACTGCCACTGCTCATGCTTGGTGAAGGGGGAAGATTTTAAGGTAGTGGACTTGGTATGAATCAGTCAAGTTGCTTTCCCTGGAGTGTATCAAGTTTCTTAAGTGTTTTGGAACTGCACTCACTAAGGCAAGTGGACAGTATATATTACGTTTGTGGATCACTAGC